GTGAAGGATACCTTAGTGTATTTAACACAACACATTGAATGAAGTAAAGCTTCTTTATTGAGATCTTCGATAAAATTACAAATACATGCATACACACGAATCAAAACAAACAAACAGGAGGGCGCCTTCGCAAAAGTTGCTCAGAATAAGTCTCAGCATTTGGCAAAACCCTAGAAACAGGAGGCACCAGTCAGTACTAGGCAGAACCTCAGAAAGAGGAGGCACCAGAGGTTGATCATTTGGAGCCTCAGTATGTGGTACAGCCCCAGAAGACGAAGACAATAAATGTCTTTCGAACAAACTCACAAATCTCTGATGATCATTTAAAATTTGATCCTCGAATTCCTATAACTGGTCAAGCTTTCTCTTCATGGTTGTAGCATAGCTATGTGCAAGCATGTGCAACTGTTTATTCTCGTGCTTAAGCCTTCTGATCTCTTGTTTGAGACTTATCACTTCAGCTGCCAACGATTCAACTTAACGGGTTTGAGCAAATAGGTGTTGGACCATATTAGACACAGAACCCGCACACTAAACATTGAGAGCCAGAGAATCCTTAATAGCCAACTCATCGGACCGTTTGGAAAGTAGTCTATTGTCTTTGGGAGTGAGAAGATTCTTGGCTACCACCGCAGTGGTTATGTCATTCTTCATCATAGAGTCCTTAATGGTAAGGGGACCAGTAGGAGATAAAAAGGATGGGCGCCATATGTTATCTTGAGAAGACATGGCTACCTTTTCCACAACATTCAAGTCCAAATGACGGTTAGACCGGCCAGACATTTTCATAAATGATGAAGAAAAAATGAGGTACAATAAATCTCAGAAGTATGAAAATAAGGGAGGAATTCTTACAAGCAGTAACTCTCTGAACGTACTTCTTGAACACAATTGGTGCCCCTACGAAAGAAAGGGCAACAAAGCTGTTTGTTCAAAAATCGAAAAGGCACCACTCTCCGAATTTCGAGAAGCAGATTTTCATGAGTAAAATTTATTAGCAATCTTCACACGCAACATCAATTCCTCGGATACCAATGATAACTTTTCCAAAGAACTCTAACAAAGTTAAGACATGTAAATTTTGAAAGTCCAGCTACCCTATTATTACCCACAGGGCAAAGGAATAACACCACTGCTTGATAACTGGAAAATCCTTATGTGTGTCAACCTCCGTGCTCCATGGCAAAGCAGACTTGCAAAAAGGCCTCACCTTTCTTCACATCCGAGAAAGCACTCCCAACAAGATTTCTTGCTCAGAAATCGAAGATGCACCGCTCTCCGAATCTCAAGAACCAGATCCCCAACAAGATTGCTTGCTCAAAAATCGAAGAGGCACCGCTCTTCGAACTTCGAGAGCCAGATTTCCTTGGATAAAATTTGTCTACAATCTTCACACGCAACATCAGCTTTCTAGATACCACGGACCATTTTTTCAAAGTGCTCTGACAAAGTTAAAACACGTGAATCTTGCAGCAGCCACTACATTGCTCTGACCGAGAAGGGTAAAGGAACAACATTACTACTCGTTGTTGGGACAATTCCTATATATGTTGACCTCCATCCTCCACAGCCAGGCAGACCTGCCAAAAAAAAAAATGCTCAACCCTTCCTCACATCCGAAAGGGCATTCCCAATCTAGCCTCTCGAAATACTCCGTTTTCTTCTCTCCCCCTCCCCGATAATACTTTTACAAACAAGCCACGCTAGAGCAAGAGTATCTCATATCATCAGGGTCAAAAGCAAGAGTATCCCATATCATGCTTTTTCCCTATCTTTTCCTTTGCCCTTGCTTTTACATGCAAGACAAGGAGAAAGGAAGCAATCAGTCGGAACCTGAAATCAAACTTCCGATATGGAACTGATTGCCCAGAACCTTTGCATGGTTGCTTACCTAGCATTGCTCTCGAGTACTCATCCTCAACTGTTGTCAAGGCCACGAATTCCTTTGGCAAATACCTCAAAACAGTTGGTACAATATTGGCTCTTTACACTGAAGCAGCCAAGCATGGATGAGTCGCTGAGAAGTAGTGCTCTGAATGACCGTTTAAATGCAAATGTTGTGCACCACATCTGCTATACACAAGATTGAAGCATAAGGTTCAACGACGAGCTGGAACAGATCACTACAGCACGACGCCCTTCCAGTAGAACTGCACAATCCAGATGGAGGAGTCTAAGTCAAATCCAAGCTCAGTATCGTTGCTCTAATTGAAGAGAGTGAGAAGCTTCAACAGCCTTTTGCTAGCACCATCATCGAAGAACAAAGCCTCGCCATACCACATCCACTACTTTGTCAATAACAGAAGTATCCCATATCATCAGGATCGAATGTACCCCAGATTTGACGGACTTGTTTTAACCTTCAAATTCTTGAGTCAGCTCACTTCTCTGGAGGAAACCAGAAAACCATCCAGCCCAGTTCAAGAATATGCCTATGGAAAGTCAACAAGTACAACAAAGCACATGTCGATTCATTCGTCTTCTCCAAAAAAAAGAGTATCTCATATCATCTCTTCTCACTGTCATTTTCTTTGTCCTTAGTGTTGAATGAGAGACAAGAAGAAGAAGAACAATCAGCCAGAACCCGAGATCAAGCTTCCGATCTAAGGCTGATTGCTTACCTTGTATGTCACCTCTTTCGGCAGATCTCCTCGCTCAGAGACTTGGAGGACTCATACTATGGGGTTTGTAGCGCACTTGACCAAGCTTGAAACTACAAGTAAGTTTCAAATGAAAATGATACATTACCTTATGTGTCAACATCAACTAAAGATACCATTCCTAGATGAAAGAAAAGTACTTCCAGAGAAGAGGCCACATCTACCGATAAGGCAGAGGCAAATGACAATGATATCACGCTCCGGTACTTAGAAGTTTCGTGATTACTCAATGGCTTGGATCTTGCAAGTCCCCAACCAAGGAGCTTCCCTCACTCGAGAACTTAGGGGAGCACCGTTTGTACCATACTTGACCAATCCCGAAACTACTGAACACCGGTTAACAGTATACCGTCAAGGACCCACAAGAGTTTCCCTTCAACCAGGAGGCCAATCACAACTCGACACGTATAGATATCAGAAACCAATCACAGTGCAACACATGTCGATATCAGATGCCAATCATAGCACGACATGTGTCAATGTCAGAACAAAGCTAGAAACTCTCTTCTATAAAAGGGGATCATTCTCCCACAATAATCCCTAATGTCATTTGTACTAAATTATTCACTAGAACTCACTAAAGGAGAGCTTGAACCTATGTATTTGTGTAAACCCTTCACAACTAATGAGAACTCCTCTACTCCGTGGACGTAGCCAATCTGGGTGAACTACGTACATCTTGTGTTGTTTACTTCCCTGTCTCTATCCATTCACATACTTATCCACACTAATGACCAGAGCAATCTAGCGAAGGTCACAAACTTGACACTTTCTGTTGTACCAAAGTCCTCGCTGATTTTGTGCATCAACACATACTTTCTTTAAATTTGAGACTCGCGTTCACCTTTTGTGCCAATAACTTCATCAACTAGTCTACCTTATCTATTGAAGATCTGATGTGATGGTTTGTTGAGTATTTACACACTCAAGGGGGATTGTTGCAGTCATATTTAGAATATGAATGTGATTGTGTAAATCTTAGTAGATCTAGGAATATCTCTTATATTCTTATTAGGAGTTGATTACCTATTAAGAGTTGTAATCCTAAAAGGGTAAGGCTTTTACCTATCCTACTACTATAAATAAAGGCACAATAAGGGTGATACAACACACACCTCACAATTAAATCTCTCTCCTCTCCCTAGATAGCTCAGTTAAATAGGTCTGCAACACTTTAATCTATGTATCATTTTATTTTACAATTTATGTATTCCAATACAATTATGTATTTTAAGTATGAATAAACACTTATTTATACAATATCTAATAAATTTATTTAAATTTGCCTAGGCCCCTGCCTAAGGTCCGCCTAGCTGCCTAGGCGCTAGGCCCCAGTCCATCGCCTAACTAGCACCTAACGTTTTTTAGAGCCTTGTTAATTAGTGCTTGGTAGAATGCCATAGCATTTTACTTAAGTAATTGAAAAATGTTTTGATTGATTTTATCATCTGTTTTTCTCCTATGGCGTAGGTATATTATTTGAGTCGAAGAGGTATGGAAAGTTTTTGAATCAATTTGTTTCCATTAAAGTTAAAAAATTAAAATTAATTAGGAGTAAATGATACATTTTTTTCTGTCAGTAGAGCTAATGATGCATGAATAGGGAATTTTAATTTGCTTCCATGATTTACCTCAAATGATACAATGGACTTAACAATTCGTCAACCCCTTTTTTTTTTAATTTTTTTTTTTTTACAAATGATATTATCTACATTAAGGGGAAGAGGGGTAGGTTATGCTCACAATAGGCTAGCAATAATGTGGTTTAAATTTGCCTTTGGCGATAATCGAATCTAATCAAATTGCATCTTAAGTTTTTAGAAGGTTCTAAGATCCCATTAATTTTAGTATGAACCTTCTTAGCTATGCAAGAGTAATGATAAAATTTCAGTTTTGAAAGAGGGTAGGTGAGAATTTCAGTTCACAAGTGGTGGATTGTCTTGGTGATATAAGGTTGTTATTCAACTTACTACGTCTTGACTCTTGAATCCTGAGTTCCAACGCTTCTCTCCCTCTCTCTCCTTCATAATGTAAATTAATGTGAAATATCGCTTCTAATAAAAACAACCAAAATCTTTACATACATAAAAAATATGCTTAAATAACCAATCAACAAAGCATATTCTAAGAGGGTTGGTGTGAAAATATGCTTTTTGGACATGTGATTTCTGTCTGTATAATCATTTTCAAGCTGCAAACATGTATGAGCCCCACAAAACTGGTGCAACAAGAATATAATTTTACATCCAACAAACTTAGTATTATTATTGTTACCTTTTATAAAGAGAGATATCAGATAGGTCTCGTCCTCTCTCCCTCCCTCTCTCTCTCTCTCTCTCTCTCTCTCTCTCTCTCTCTCTCTCTCTCTCTCTCTCTCTCCGTGCTCTTCAAAAACCTAACAGTAACAAAAGTCTGTTAGATTTACTTGTGTTTCATTAGGGTTAATGGAGAGAGATGTCATTGATCATCACAGAAAATCTTTTTCCAGGTGTTTGATGTCTCCTTCGTGCTTTCCGGTGCAAGAAGAAATGGAGTACGCTCGCATCCGCAGCTGCAGCCAAAGAAAAAGAAGCCCTAGATGGCGGAACTTGCTTCGGAGGTTGTTGAGTGATAGGGGCAGAAGCATATGCGGGTCGAAAACTAGGTCGTTTCAGTACGATGCTGTCAGCTACTCGCAGAATTTTGATGACGGGTGTCATTTACATGAAGAACCAAGACGCCATTTGCAGGTTACGCTTCCTGATGTGAGATGGGATGGTTCCACTTGATGAGCAATATATCGGGTCTAGTTATTACAAAGCTAGAAGATGTGTAATTATAGATTATTATTAATCAATTTATTGTAATAGTGCAATTCTGATCTCAGCACATTTTCATGTTATTTTTTGGGGTTTTAGATTTGATGCTCAGTCGCTAAGATGTCCTAAATTCGAATCCTCGCACTTTTTTTGATAAGAAATTGTGAGATAAATGTTAACGGTGACGATACAGCATTTGAACTCCTTCTTTAATATGCATCCTTCAGTGTGAACTTCAAAGGGGAGAGAGTAATCTTGTTATCTCTGTTCACCTAGATCTACCTTATACACAAGGGTGAGCCCAAGCTATAAAGACTCTCTATTTTGTGAGGATCGAAAAAGAAGGAAAAATGTCTATCGTATACGGTCTTACTCTTATTATGCAAAAATGTTGTTTCTACGACATCTACCTTATACACAATACACTTTTTCTCGTTTATGGAAGACGCAATATACACAGTTTTCATTTAAGTGTTAACAATATAGTTGGTTTCAGTTTTTTCTAGACTCTCAACTCCAATGGTGAAACAGAACCACAACTCAACTTTTAATGCAATTGAAAATAAAATAGGTATGGAATAGTCAAAGTAGCACCCTTATTTATTAGGATATATGCTCAAAACTGAACTGAAGCCTCTTTGCATCAAATAATCGTAGTTCACCGCAATTGGAAATTATATTGCTTCATAAATGGATTAGTTTAAGATTAAAAGACATGAAATATACAGATGGAGGACATGGGTGTACAAGAGGTTATTATATAGATGGAGGACAAGGGTGTACAAGAGGTTATTATATAGATGGAGGACAAGGGTGTACAAGAGGTTATTCTTGGAATACCAAAAAATTATCTTGGGTGTCAAGAGAATATTGAGAGAAAAAAGGTGTCGGTGGAAAACTTGTTAGTGTCCAGAGACAAATGGGTTTTAACAGAAATTCCCTTCCCAATTTTACTATTTTGGCTGAATCCCGGTAGTATCAAACTCGGTTCTATTGGGGAGAGTCATGTTAAAGGCTCCAGCCTTAGCAGTCCAATCCTTAGTACCTTGGACAACACTATTAGGAGAAATGTTTTAGTGTACCGAAAATATAGTTCAGTATACCAAATGTTATAATACAAATTATTGTAAATTTTATTTATGTATCCAACCACTTATAGTATGATAATTGATATACCGTGCTGTGTTCACAGCACATTGAAAAATCTTTTCACTTTTAAGGCTCACAACTCCGCACTAGCAAGAGATTAACTCTTCAATACACCTAAATGTAACATGCTAAACTCAAATAATAATTGTATGGGATCCATCACACAACAGTGGGTTCCAACGACACATTAAATCGGGCGTATCAAAGACTCAATCCTACCAAAAGTTTGTATAAGAATACTCACGAAGCAACCAAAAATAAAATTATTATGGAGCCAAAAATAATTTGAAATTTTTTGGACCTGACACGTGAATTTTTACCAGCAAAATACAACAATGCCCTTGTTAAATTGGCTGGGCCCACATTTAATCACACAGAATCTAACATCCCTAGGGCCCTAACTACCATCTCATCAAGTTTCCTTGCATGTGTCAAGAAGACAAGTCAAAGACATTAAAGATATGATTAATTACTAAATTTTATCTTTATACTTGCCCAAAGGAAGACCAACTTTATCAAGAATGGAATCACAATCAAACTGGGATTCCACCAGATAAATTCAAGATATTATTTAATAAATAATAGGCTTTTTAGCAAAAACGGTCTCTGAGATTTGCAAAACAAATCACCTTGGTCCTTGAGATTTGAAACCAATAGAAGTTGTCTATGAGATTGTCCACCATCAATCATTTTGGTCATTTCCGTGCAAAATTATGTTAGATAAGGATTAAAATGACAAATATACCCTCAATTTTAATAAACAATGGGCGAAAATGATTTGACAAAAATCAAAGGTATTTTGGTCATTTTATTTTTATTTAATGGAGATTTTTCATGAAATGACCAAAATGATTTATGGTAGACAAATTTAGGGACAAATTCTATTGATTTCAAATCTCAGGAACCAAAGCGAGGAGTTATGCGGATCTCAGGGGCCATGTTGGCTAAAAACCCTAAATAATATCTTGGGATAATTCTTTCCTCATCCATCCTATGGATGACACACCTTGGCCAATCAGATGTTTACACATGTCAGGTCAAAACCTTACACATGTGGCCGGCCCTAGCTCTATAAACTGTGGTTTCTAAAAATTTTGTTCTTTAAGGAACTACACTTGTAATCCTTTGATTCATGGAGCGTCAAACAGAAACCGAAACATTCAATCAATGAGAGAGAGAGAGAGAGAGAGAGAGAGAGAATACTAAAGTGTACACAGAGGTAAGCTTTATGTTGGAACCAAATTCGCGCATGCTAGTCCCTAGATTGTAAGAACTCGCGTGTCTTGCGGATCAAAATTGTGGTTTCTAAAATTTTTTGTTCTTTAAGGAACTACACTAGTAATCCTTTGATTCATGGAGTGTCAAAGAGAAACCGAAACATTTAATTGATAAGAGAGAGAAAATACCAAAGTGTGAACAGAGGAAAGCTTTATGTTGGAACCAAATTCGCGCACGCCAATCCCTAGATTGTAAGAACTCGTGTATCCATTGTGGTTTCTAAAATTTTTGTCCTTTAAGGAACTACATTTGTAATCCTTTGATTCTTGGAGTGTCAAAGAGAAACCGAAACATTCAATCAATGAGAGAGAGAGAGAGAATACCGAAGCGTGAACAGAAAATGGGCACTAGAGGAAGGAATGAAGAGAGACGAAAGGGTCAATGGTGAACAACAATTTTGTTGTAGTGTCCAGAATGAGTGAGCTTCGACTGCTAATTGTGTATTTCTTTCCTTTTGAGAAGAAATTTTTCAATGTGCCTTTAATACGTTGTGGTACACCATGTGTAATAATGCAATTTCTTGGAAACTTGAAACACAAAATCTCTAACTAATTGTATTACTACAATTGATGTACTAGACCGTGTTCTTGGTACACTAAAACAATTTTCCCTTCTGAGTTCTGACTAGGGATGGGCAAATACCCATTAGTTATGGGTAATCGCGGTTATCCGCCCATTTAAATTTGGTGGTTATCCGTTTATTTAAATTTGACAGTTACAATTATGGCTAACCATTTTGATAAATAAACGGCTATGGGTATAATTGTTTACCCGTGAAATTTAAATGGGCGGTTATGGGTATTACCCGCAGTTATAAACGGGTACCCATTTAACCGTTTATTTTAATATATGTAAAACTAAAAAAAAAAAAAAAAATAGTTTCTAACTAGGTTTAGTATCCCGAGATATATTTGGTTATAAAGAGCCATATATATATATATATATATATATATATATATATATGCCTCACTTGAGAAAAATATATAGTTAATAGAACGGGCTAATGTTTAATATATGTGATTGAATGTGCCAAAACATTAGAGTGTTTGACAGTTTTGTTTTGGAGTCTTTTGGAGCTTTGACCAATTCAAGATAATGATTACCTTGAGCTTTTAGAAACATGTTATTATCAGATGATGCGTACCTATACATATATATATATATATATATAAATTTAATTAGCCTCTAGTTTTCAATAAATATTTGACCCCAAAATTAGAAATCGATTAAATGGCTTGGATCGATGAACATATGTTTCTAAATAAAAATCCAAATATTTACCAAATTAGCTTATTACCAGACAGATGCGTACTTATATATATATATATATATATATATATATATATGTATGTATGTATACAAGAATATTAATTAACCTACAACCATGCATGATTCTTGTAATAGATTGGTAGTCCAATAATTGGGAGACATCACATATATTCATAAATAATATTGTCGTTAATATAAAAATACATGTTAAATGTACTTATAACTATATTTAATAGTTAGAAAAAAGAAAATTATGGACGGGTAAAAAAAAAAAAAAGTAAATGGGTAAACGGGTATGCGGTTATGGGTAAATGAGTATGAGGTTATAAGTATGGTTAACTGTTTATAAACGGTTATGGGTATGAGTATACCCGTTTATGTAATTACTGAATGGGTAAACGATTATGCAGGTAAAAGTTTAAATTATTATGGGTAAATAATCGCGATTACCCACCTGCCATAACCGTTACCCATCCCTAGTTCTGACCAACGTAACATTATTTTCATGTTTGTTAATTTTTCTATCTGGCCTGCTCAGGCATACGCTGGTCAAGTTGGGCCTCATCGGGTCTTCTACTGCATCCTAAACCCAAGTTGGACAGAGTCCCTTGACTCAAACGACGAAGTTTTGTAGATGTTAGGGTTACGCCATGAATTAAGCAGCTATAAAGCCCAAGCCTCCGCCTCCTTCTCTTACCCCTTCGTTCGGATTCATAGAAAGTGTTTTATTTATTTATTTTCGGTTTCTGTATAAAATTCGAAGAAGTTTTTTAAGGTTGTATTATTTGTCAGAGGATGATGAATTCAATGTGCAAACGCAGTACCAATCTTGGCTTCTATGAGCGGCACTGCCACACTAGATTTTTGACTCTCTCTCTCTCTTAATTTCTTCAATTTACACATTTTTCTTATTTTCTTTGGTGGTTGTTCTTTTTGCTGTTAGAAATAAAAGAAGCTTCATATTTTTGTCAAAATATTCTGAATTTTCATCATTGAAAGGTTTGAAAATGGGCCCTTTTTTTGGGTTTAGAAAGTATGGAGTTTTTCCATTAATTCCCCATGAATGCATTTTGAATATTTTTTTAGATTTGTATGTGAATTGTATTTTTTTTTTTTTTGGTCCAAGTATATGAATTGTGTGTACGACACTTAAATTTTATATAAAACTCGTACCACTCAAGTCTTAGCTTATATTGGAGCTTGACCACATATTTTCTACTCAAACTGATTATTGACAACGGGAAAATGTGTTGACCTTCATAATTTAAGGTCTTTCCAAGAATCCATTCAAATTTAGAACTTGTAACGCTCTCCCTATAGGCTTTTTAATCCACTCTTCACACGTATTTATCTATTATTAATACTATCAACTTTTTCCTTAAAAAACAAACTGGTTTCTTTCTATTCGAGTGTAAAATGGTATAATATCAAATTTTAGTCTTCAAATT